AACACAAACTTGCACAGCCAGTACAGCAAGAATGCAGCGTGCTCAACTTCACCGAGGGGGGCGATGGCGTCATCTTCGGCGCTGTCCTCTACGCCGAAGTTGCTGTAAAAACTGGAGTAGTTGAGCATGTTTTTCGCCTTGCTCCCGGGTATCTTGGTGACCGCGGGCCAGGCGGCCTTGAAGCTCCCTTCTGCCTCAGGAGCAACAAGTGCGGCGTTCACTTCTACGCCGAGAGGAGAGAGGACGAAAAGGGCAGCCATGTCTAGAACGGTCGGCGTCATCATGCCAAACCGAAGGTTCATAGTATTGGTAGCCGACGACCAGAAGCACAGGGCCGCGGCCAAGAGCGACCGGTCCATGACGAGCGGCCGATCGAACAGCTTGATCAAGTGGTAGATGCCTTGATCTTTCCATTGCTGGCCGAAGAAGTGCTCCATCCTCGGCAGCCATTTTTCCCAATCCGGGGTCGAGGTTGGCCATTATTGCTGCGGCCTGGCAACATTCCAATCTTGGAAGTCCCCCCCGTCAAAGGCCAAAAGGTCCACCAGATTGTTCTTCAAATGGGCCACTAGCCTCCCTGGCATTCCGCCATCAACAGAGGGGCCGAGAACGCAGGAATCAGTGGCAACGCCGTCATCATCAGTCCAGGGCGTGGTGACGTTGGGTAGGACCGAGCCTTGGATTTCTCGGCAAATATCCTCGAACTTAGTCTGAAAGGCTTGAGACCGAGCTTCAACAGATGTAGAGGTACTGGAGGCCATTAAAACATATCTAAGTTGGGTATTTGGAAGGAAAATGCAGAGAAAGGGGTAATGAACGTGAAGAACACTGGAAGAAAACCCGGAAAAGGATGAGGGTTTGTGGGTTCTTGAAAGGACGGAACTCAAGAATAAAAGAAAGTCGTGGTTACAGGCAAGGTTCTCTGGTAAAACTTGGAGACTTAAGAGCGTGGTGGGATTGAAGGATTGAGAGAGGTTTTTCGCAAAGCTTGGGCGTCTGAGAATTCTGAAAGCGTGTGTCTCTCTCGAATTCGAAACGAAAGGGTGTGTCTCTCTCGAGAGATGAAACACTCTGACAGCGTGCTCAAAAAGCACGATGACGTGTCGGAAGCCCAGAGGCCGTCGTTTCATTTGACGAGGCGAAGCGACGCCTCGCGTAAGCCTGGGCAATGATGGCCTGCACGACGTGCTTGGGCATTAAATGCGCCGACTGTCCTGCATATTTAATGCACCAGTTGTCAATCACTTTAGAAGGAATGCAAAGGGTCCATCCCCTGGAATCCATTCGGCCCCTACGCATGCCGAGACCGAAGAATCCGGGGATGTGGGGGCAATGTTTGTGCTTAATAAATCACGGCCAGAAGGAGCCCATTTTTCTCGGCCCTAGCACTTGCTCGTAAATCTAAAACGCGGCGTTTTGCCAAGATGTTTGGCCTTCCTGAAAACAAAAGAAAAATTGCTAAGGCATTATCATCTCGGCCTCGATTATAGGCCGAGGCCGAGGCCGAACAAAATCACAGCCAAAGGTATTAAAGTCAAATCATCACGTGAAAGCAGGGTCCCATGCTTCATTTAATGAAGTAATGCCTCTGTTTATTGCAGCAAACCCACTGGCCACGAATAAGCATTTAATGCACGAGGGAAAGTGGGAAGTGACTGAAGTCAGGATTTGGTGATAGGAATCAAAGTGATTAGACGCAAACATTCTCACAAGGATTCTTACAGCTTGAGAGATTAGGCCACCAGCTATCAGAGCAATAAATGCGTCCCCACGGCCAGAAGCGCAGAACCCACGATTGGGGTCACACCACCATGCTTCACGATCCCAAATGTCGATTGGACTACCCACTTGCTTTGATCAGGCTCCACCATGCAGATTTTCAACCTCGATTACTCCTCCAAGCGCTCCTCCTATAAATACCAAGTTCGAGCAACATTCAAAGGGTTCAAACACCAAACCAAAAAGCCTCCCACGGAGCAACTTATATTTTCCTGTAATGCAGTTTCAATATATTTACTTGCTTTCCTAGGAGTAGTGTTAGATTGTAAGGAAAATTCGTTCATCAATATATCATACGACCCTTGATTTTCAAGGTACTGGAGCACCATCTCTGTTACTCTCTCATTCACCCCATATATCATACGACCGTCGCTCCCTGAGCAACGCGCCGGAGCAACGCCCAAAATCCACCATCAACACCACCATTAAACGGCCTTGTAGCTCAGGCCGTGAACCTGATGGCCGAGATTAGTTCCTCTCTCGGCCACAATCGTTTGATTAGGAGTCAAACCCAAACAGGAGCACCACTTAACCACTTTCATTCACATCACCATCTCGACGCACGGTAGACCGTGCTGGCACGCCCGTGCACAACCGCACCGCATCCAAAAGCGGGAAGCCACGTGTTAACACACATCCCCTCGGCCCGGAACCCCAGGCCGTGAGATTTGCGCAGCCAACAGGTATTGTGAAACAGTTATTAACGATATCCCGTCGGAGAATCCTAAAGAGCTTACATGTAATTACAAATCACATGACTCCAATCCCATAATACCGATGTCTAAAAAATTTCTACGACCATCAACATATAATCTATGTCGTCTTTTAGGGCCACAAAAGGCTTCCGCGTCAAGATATCTAACCTGAACGTCATAAAGATTACAAAAGACGACGTCTTAGATTATGAACTCGTCCATATCAACTCAAAAATCGTCGTCTTAAAAATGTACCACGTCGCTTTTTATCTCATAAACGAAGTGGAAAGACAACAATTCAGGATGATATTTGAAATCCAGAGGTAAATTTGTCAACGTAAAGAGTTATTTGGACGTCGTACTTTTACTGAAACGACGTTATATATAATTATCCGAGTCCTTTTTTTTTAGCCAATGTCGTTAAAATCTTTTTACACGGCGATTTACTGACAATATTAGCCGTCTAAGAGACATTCAACGATGATCCTTTTGTTAAAGATGACGTATAAATTCGGAAACACGGCTGTCTTTTAGTTGCGGACGACGTTGTCCATTAAATACAACGTCATCTGTAGAAATAAATGTGTCGTCAGTAATGATCTAACCTCTTTCTACACATATATACTGCCGTTAGTAATTTTTACCCCGTCAACATTTATGGAAAAATCCTCTTTCAGGACGATTATATAAACAGTGGCGACATAGTATGCATCAATAACGTCGTCTGTTGTTTATTTAAAGACATCATAATTGCATTTCACGTTTCTTGTTTGGTCATGTGTCGTGAAAGGTTAATGTAACGTCTGTGAGATTACAAAAGACGACAACTTATATTATAAACTTGTCCATACCAACTCATAAATCGTCGTCTTAAAAGTGTACCACGTCGCTTTTTATATCATAAATGAACTGGAAATACAATAATTTACGACGGTATTTGAAATCCATAGGTAAATTTGTCAACATAAAGAGCTATTTGGACGTCGTACTTTTACAGAAACGACGTTATATATAATTATTCACGTCCTTTTGTTTTTTTTTCAGCCGATGTCGTTAAAAGCTTTTTACACGGCGATTTACTTACAATATTCGCCATCTAAGAGATATTCAACGACGGTCTTTTTGTTAAAGATGACGTATAAATTCAGAAACACGGCTATCTTTTAGTTGCAAACGACGTTGTCCATTAAATACAACGTCGTCTGTAGAAATAAATGCGTCGTAAGTAATGACCCTGACCTCTTTTCTACACATATATACTGCCGTTAGTAATTTTTACCATGTCAACATTTATGGAAAAAACGAAGTGGAAAAATCTCTTTCACGACAGTTATATTAACATTGGCGACGTAGTATGCATCAATTACGTCGTCTGTTGTTTATTAAAGATGTCATAATTGCATTTCACGTTTCTTGTTTGGTCATGTGTCGTGAAATGTAACGTCTCTGAGTTTTAATTTTCGTCGTGGTATCCAGTTTTTACGGCCATATTTTGTTAATATACATCATTTTTTGTGTTTTAAACGAAGGTTTTTTTGTTAAAATTGGTCGTCTATTCTTATTCTTGACAATTTTTTGTTTCATTTTTCAATATACAGACGTCGGTTGTTATTTGTTAATGACGTCGTTCATTCTAACAACGACGAGGATTTACCGTCATGGTTTGCTTTTGTAAAAGGTGTCGGTTGATTTCACGACAGTTTGAAAACCGGCTACACGATGGTGAATTCCCGTCGTCTTTTGCCTTTTTTGTAGTAGTGAAAGCATCCTAGATAAAGCCATACCATAGTACACATGTGCATGAAATAATTTACAAGAAGGAATTATCAATGGAGAATCTTTCCAAACAGAAGACACAGGAAAAGTGAAATGTGCATAAGAAAGAAGCACATTCTGATCAGGTAGCCAAAGGATCAAGACCAAGCAATTCACCACATGTCATCATATGTATCGGCTTTGACAAATGCAGCATCTTAGTTGAGAGGAAATGAGAAACTTGTTTCATTGTTGGACGAGATTTCGGGTTGGAATCCAAGCATGAAAATGCTATCTTCACAATAGAGACCACTTCTCTTGCAACTTGATGCGTAGGAGGGGAAATGCGTTGGTCCAAAACATCCACAATTGGTATTTGATGGGCTAGTAATGCAGATGATGATGAGGAGGAGGAGGATGAAGAGACTGATGAGAAAGATGAGAAAAGATGTCCAGGATGCTTTCCCATAATTATTTCCAATGTGACCACACCAAAGCTATAAACATCGCAGTTCTCATTCACTTTCATTGTGTAAGCAAGCTCTGCTAAGAGAAAACCTCAGAGAAGTGGCATTATTAGTTTATAGACATAACTATGCAATGGAATTTTAACGAAACTGTACATGCATAAATCGACTTATTAGTTTATAGCTTAAGAGAAGTGAAAATATGTTTATTAGTATATTTTCTACATCAAAGAAGTGAAAATGTAATGATCAATGAAGCATTGGTCTAAAAGCAAAAGCTTAAAAAGTGCTAAATACAGAGAACAGGGAATCACAATATTACCTGGTGCCATGTAGCCATATGTGCCTGCAATGGCAGTCCAATTAGTTGAGTTTGGATTTAAAAACTTAGCAGTGCCAAAGTCTGAAACACAGGCCTCATATTCAGAGTCCAACAAAATGTTCTTGCTTGAGATGTCACAATGTACAATCGGTGGCAAGCAATCGTGGTGCATGTAAGACAAGGCATGAGCTACACCTTTAACAATATTCACCCTTTTACTCCACCCCAACTCTTTAGCTTCTTCATCTTTGATCAACATTGCGGCTAAGCTACCTCTTTCAAGATAGTCATACACCAAAAACGAGTGTCTTTTATGTGCACAGAAACCATAGAGCTTCACAATATTCCGATGTCTTATCTCACTGAGTGCCCTTACTTCATTCAAGAACTCCTTCTGAAATTCTGTCTCTCCATCCCATAGCAAATGGAGTTTCTTCACGGCCACTACGTCTCCAGATGACAAATTCACTCTGTAGACGCTTCCATGTCCTCCCTTCCCAATGCAATATGTGGAATCAAAATCTTCTGTTGCCCTTATGATTTCCTCATACATTGATTTTCCATCAAAATTTAAAACCAAAAAGGAAATTTCTCCATGCATGTGGTTTTGTTTAGTATCTTGATGCTTCTTCTTTCTTTGCACTATTACAAAGACAATTGTAAAGAAAGTAGATACAAGTACAAATACCGCTAGAAGAGAGAATATTAACTTGTGGTCTTTTTTTGAGGCATGTGCATTGCAGGGTGGTAGCAGAGCTCCAACTTTGCCACACAATCCTTTATTCCCTTTCAATCCTTTTGGCGGAGCTTCTCGAAATGCACTGATGTTAGGAAGGGTACCTTCCAAGTGATTGTAGGATATGTCAACATACAACAAGCCGCCCAGGTCTTCAAAACTTGATGGTATGGAACCCGAAAGATTGTTGTGGGAAAGATCAAGTGTCACCAAACTCTGCATACTGCCTATTTCTGATGGTATCTTACCTTCAAGTGAGTTATGACTTAAATCCAGGTCATTCAATTGAACTAACTTCCCCAACTTAAAAGGAATTGCTTCATCCAACTTGTTGTTGCTCAAATTCAAGTAGTACAATTTGAACAAGTCACCTAGAATGCTCGGAATTGACTCATTGAATTTATTTGTTGACAAGTCAAGATAATCAAGATAAGTCAATGATCCGAATTCAGAAGGTATTGAACCTGAAAGTTGATTTCCATTCAACATCAACCTCTCCAAAGAAGTCAATCTCCCGAATCCCATTGGAATCAACCCAACTAAATGATTCGAAGAAAGGTCCAGCACATGAATTTGGGTTGCGTTGACTATCTCACGTGGTATGCTACCAGTAAGGTTGTTTCCCGCAAGTCGTAGGGTTGTCAACTTTGGGCATTTTTGCCAATTGTGTGAGATTTCTCCATACAAGTTGTTATGGCTTACATCTATATATTGAAGATTCGGATAAACGCCAAAGTCTTCAGATATATTGCCTATCAATTGGTTTTGTTCAAGACGGAGTCTACGTAAGCTCATGCAGTTTTTCAAGCTTTTGGGGATTGGACCAGTCAAATAGTTTCTAAATACTGAAAAGTTTGTGAGTTTTCCACCTTGGAAAATATTTTGGGGCAAAGAACCAGATAATTTGTTTGCATTCAGCTGTAGTGTAGTCAAATTCTTGAGATTCTCTAACTCTTGGGGAATGGAGCCGGAGAGTTGGTTATTGGTTAGGGATAAGATCTCCAAGTTGCTCAAGTTAGCAAATGAGGTTGGAATTGAACCATTGAGTTGATTCACATCCAACACTAGATCTACAAGAGATTTTAAGCTCCCTATCTCCTTGGGAATCAAACCAAAAAGTTGATTGGTATCCAAGTGCAAAGTCTTTAGGTTTGTTAAGTTACCAATATTTGGAGGGATGAGACCACTTAAATTGTTTAAAGACAACTCTAGATCTACAAGAGATTTCAAGCTCCCTATCTCCTTGGGAATCAAACCAGAAAGTTGATTGGAACACAAGTACAAAGTGTTTAGGTTTATTAAGTTACCAATATTTGGAGGTATGAGACCACTTAAACTGTTGTTGCACATATCTAGATCTACAAGAGATTTCAAGTTCCCTGTCTCGTTGGGAATCAAACCAGAAAGTTGATTGGAATGCAAGTACAAAGTGTTTAGTTTTATTAAGTTACCAATATTTGGAGGGACGAGACCGCTTAAATTGTTGTCGGACATATCTAGATCTACAAGAGATTTCAAGTTCCCTATCTCCTTGGGAATATTCCCAAAAAGTGTATTGTCAGAGAGACTAAGAAATGTAAGATTTCTTAAGAGACCGATTTCTGGTGGGATTTTCTCAGACAACTGATTCTGGGAGAGATCGAGATGGTGGAGTTTGGAGAGGTAGCTGATTTGAGGTGGGATGGCATCAAAGAGTTTGTTCAAGCTGAGGTTAAGATATTCAAGATTAGGGAAGGACAAGAATGAAAACTCATGTAGCGTACCTTGAATACCACAAGTGGAAAGGTTTATCGTGCTAACACTTCCAGCTGAGTTGCATGAAACACCAGTCCAAGTGCATGGGCTTGTTCTTGGTTTTGGATTGCTGCTGGAAGAATTGGTGGCATTAATATTATGAGTGGGAGGGTTGTACCAGGTGAGGTGATTGAGGGCTTGATTTGGAAATAAGCTGGCTTTCCATTTGAGAAGAGCCGTTGCTTCAGTATGAGAAGTAGAAGTAGCAGAAGGAAAAGCAACCCAATGTGGTGATGAAACGTACAACAAGATGACAAGGCAATAAGGTAGGAAACATAGTTTAGCGAAAGTTAAAGATGTCATGGTTATTGTTTGTGTGGTATACGTATATTGTATGGGCTACCTTACTAGTTATATATAGTGTGGGTTAGTCTTTGGGGTTCAGTTGAGCATTGAAAAGTCTTTCGAATCTCATCTATAATTAGTTTTCTTTTGAGTAAAGGTCTCAGTCTTTCATTCCTCTAAATTTAAATGCCAATTTTGTATTTTCTGGATGAAATAATGAAATGAAATTGATGGAGGTGAGAGATAAACATATGCATGACATAGGTATCCCACCCAACTGAATTGTAATAAAGTATTTGTCTCAATGGTTGTTCTTACAATGGCTTGCGTCAGAGTCTTTGTCTCTCGTTCTTTATAGTTATAGTTAAATGTCAATTTTGCATTTGTTGGACTGAATTAATGAAATGAAATGGATGTAAGTGAGAGCTCATCACTAGCTATATGCTTGAATAATGCTTGGCACATTATTATTATTATTTATTATTTTTTTCTTGGTGCATGGCTATTTTCAGTTGCCTTAGGCGACTCAGAAATCAAACTCACGTGCCTTTCACGTGGCTTTACCCCTTAGTAGCATTAATGGCCCATTTTCAACTTCTTCTTTACCCCTTAGTGGCTTTACCCCTCAGAAATCAAACTCACGTGCCTTTCAGCAGAGCTATTTGTTATTTATTATTGTTTACTGATAAAATAGCAGAGCTATTTATATAAATTGTAGAGTCGTTTATTGATTTGATTTACTGTAAACCAGGAATAGGAATGCGTAATTCATGGTTTGTTTTGTCGTTTGTTGGATAAATTCATTTGATTATTGTCCTCCGATGCCACTACCGATAATTAATAGTCAACTTCATTTTTTAATTTATCAACACAAAATACATCGGTTATTTAGCTCACCATCCATCATACTCAACAAAAATCAATTAAGAAAAGCTGTATATTTGGCAAATAATAATAATGGTCTTCCCTTGGGTACTGGCTAATTTTCTTAATAACGTTATCTTCGTTTCTCATTACAAAAAAGACGAAAATTAAAGCCTTTTGATTGGGAAGGAAATTCGAATTTGGGTGCAATGGAGCGAGTTCACTGTCCTGACCAACTGGCTTATAAATTGTTTGTTTTGGCTCAATAAATACAACTTAAATGAACGGAGTACTTACAAGGATGTTAAGTTTCTGGTTGAACTGTGATGATACTTCGTTTATTAGCTCATGCCGTTGGGCTCTTGACACCAGATCACAATAGCATGCCTATATATATTATGCAATTATGATCCATACATAAAAAAAAGTAGGAAAGAGAGAAATTAATGTTCACTTAGTAGACTGTCTGATAACGTTAGATGTCTCTCCATGTACATGCATCATGCATGTTACAAATTTTTCTTTGAGAAAAAAACACTAACGATCAGATTGAAAAAATAAGATAGGAAATTGAAAGAGAAGGCTATCCCGAGCCCTTTCGTTCCTCCAGTGACAAGAGCAGTCATTCCATGAAGAGACCATCTATGATCTTTGCCATTGATATCTACCGTGGCCATCATCTCTCTCCCTCTCTCTCTCTCTCTTCAATTCATCCACGCATCCATTCACTTCTTATATAAGAAACAAAGGCAATGTCAATACTGACTGCTTTTATGTGGCAAATTCCCAGTTTGCTTCTGCATGGGTAGTAGACAGAAATAAGACATTTCAAAAGATAATTGCGACCATAATTAAGACATTTCAAAAGACAACTTTGGACCATAAGACATTTCAAAAGATAATTGGAACCATAATTAGGACATTTCAAAAGACAACTTTGGACCATAAGACATTTCAAAAGATAATTGGAACCATAATTAGGACATTTCAAAAGACAACTTTGGACCATAAGACATTTCAAAAGATAATTGGAACCATAATTAGGACATTTCAAAAGACAACTTTGGACCATAAGACATTTCAAAAGATAATTGGAACCATAATTAGGACATTTCAAAAGACAACTTTGGACCATAAGACATTTCAAAAGATAATTGGAACCATAATTAGGACATTTCAAAAGACAACTTTGGACCATAAGACATTTCAAAAGATAATTGGAACCATAATTAGGACATTTCAAAAGACAACTTTGGACCATAAGACATTTCAAAAGATAATTGGAACCATAATTAGGACATTTCAAAAGACAACTTTGGACCATAAGACATTTCAAAAGATAATTGGGAACTTTATTAATCCATTGATGTCATGTCACCTTAGTTTCACATAAAATTAAAGCACAAGCACTCGGGTATTAGATCCTTTAGATGGATCAGAATCAGATGGTATTTCTTTGACCTCAAAGAAGAATAGAAGAACAAAGAAAAAAGAACTCAAGCGTGGCTCTCCTATTAGCAAACAAATAATACAACTATTTCCAAGTCATGCTCTTTGGAAGAGGAATCCATGAATGCTAATTACTAATTAGTGATAAAACACCACATCACAATGTTGATGTAAGTGGCTCGATACAAGCCATGATGTGTAAGTCCCACATCGGAGAATAAAACAATAATATATCGTTCAAATATATAGGTGGTCCACTCCTAATTGCACCGATGCCTTTTGTGATGAAACCTCACACCTAGAGGTTTATTGAGCCTTCTCCCTCTTAGATGGTTAAGGTGGGAAGGGACAATATCGATGCATGATTTGAACAGGTAATAGACTCCTATTACGCCTGTTGCTACAATACATAAATTGAACCAGTGATTTGAAACCCCTTCTCTCCCATTGGCTAAAGCAGTCATTAAGTTCAAGAAGTACGTATGGTTCCGCCTAGCCCTCCCAATTCTACCACTAATATTCTTAAGATTTTGCATAAATTGGTGAAATTAAATATGTACCCAGAGTTCTAAAACAGAGGAAAACAGGGGAATAATTTAAGGAAACGTTGCATTTGCATTGCCCTCACAATATTTTCTTTTAACGCAAAAAGGATATCCAGAATACCTAACAACTAAGTAAAAATATCATGTATTTTCAATATTTCAAATAAAACAAGATAATAAAATAAAATAAACAAATTGATTTATTTTGGCTGATGAACACATGACTCCATTGTCCAAGATATACTACCGTACTGGTGTTGTAGCTAGCATGAAATGCAAGGCATGGTCTTAAATATTCAAACTCTACTTTGCAAATCAAAATAAATTCAAGTACAAACAGATCTGCTCTGAGACAGATGGCCTCACTCTCACTCACTCCCTGGTTCCGATAGATATTCTTGGCGCCCCTCCTCTTATCTGAAACTGTTCACTCAAGATGT